AGTCATAGGATGGGAAATACAAATAGATATAGATAAGAAAGCTAGGGGAAAAGGAATGGTTGAGAGGAAATCGATGTGTAACCTAATAGATTAAAAAAAATTTAAAAGGAAAGGGGAAAAAAAAAAGTAATGAATTTAAACCCCCATACTGTCCATACAGAATAGAGATGACTTAGAGCTGAGTTGAGAACTAGAACCTGTTATTAGTAAGGAATTGTATAACAAATAGATATAGATAAGAAAGCTAGGGGAAAAGGAATGGTTGAGAGGAAATCGATGTGTAACCTAATAGATTTTTTAAAAAGTAATGAATTTAAACCCCCATACTGTCCATACAGAATAGATATGACTTAGAGCTGAGTTGAGAACTAGAACCTGTTTTCAGTAAGGAATTGTATTGTAATGAATAATTTAGCACTTATGTGACCTCAAAAAGAGATAGGAAAAGAGCTGGTTAGTCAACACAAAATGGGTTTTAAACATCAAAAGAAGGAAAGCAAATAGTGGAAGAACTGTCGGTAATAACAACTTGTGTGGTAGAAAAATAAGTGATATATATGATATGGAAATAATTGGAAATGTATGTCAACTTTGTAAATTCTGTTGGGATGTAAAATATGGGCTTATAAAACCTAATAAAATAATTTACACACACAAAAAAAGGAAAGTTAGTGCATGATGCCGATCTTCAGGGGTGGGATCGGGGTGGGGAGAGGGGAGACACCCTGTCAGTCTTGGAATCCCACATTGCAACAGAGATTCTCCCTATTTTCTTCACAAGATGTGGACGAGTGTGCGGAGAACCAACACAACTGCAGCCGAGGACAGATGTGCATCAACGTTTTCGGAGGTTTCCGGTGCCTGCAGCCCGAGTGCCCCAAGCCCCAACTCAACACCAGCTATGTCAAAACCTCTGCTGCGTAAGTGCAAACATCAGCCTTCCCTTTGGAGATGTCCCATGAAAGCACTTTGTAGAACTGGGCAGGTTTACCTCAAAGGTTACCCCCCAGCCAACCGAAAAATATGTACTCCACCCAGGTAACTCTTGAACCCAGCTCACTCGGTTGAGTGGCATCCACCTACCACTCTTTGGGCTGGATCCCATGGATCTGCTCCACTAGGGGTGCTGTTCTCCCCCAACAGAAGGCGCTTTCCCTTCTGTTGCAAGAGAACTTTCTGAGTCAGGGGAAGACTCCTTCTGCCTAAAGGAGGTGCCTCTGCTAACTGGAAGTATCCAGGGCTGCCAGAGGGGTGAGCAAGCTCTCCCATTTTGTCTTCCCTTTCCTAGCACCGGGGCCCTAATCCAGATCCCACCTTCAACTTTCCAGCCTCCTGCATAGTTTGGTCCAGGACCTGAAGGATATATCATGTACCATGCACAACAATGTGTTATTGTGCTCCTCTGCCTTTTCCTGTTTTTAAGGAAAGCGGCTTTGGAGGACAGAATTCAGGGCCGAGAAGGCGGGGATAGGGTGGATTAACTCTTCCCTTGACTACATTAAGAGAGGCTGTACAGGAACAAACCATCTAGTCCAGCATCCTTTTTTACACGATGGTACCAGAAACCCTGAAAGGTCTACAAGCAAGGCGGGGGGGGGAGGCTCCCCCTGTTGTCACCCCCCAGCCCTGCTATTTAGAGGTATCCCACCTTCAGACATGGGGTTTCCATTCAGTCTTCACAGCTAATAGCTATGAATGGACTTATCACTCCATGAATCTGTCTCCTGTCCTTCTAATACCAACTAGACTCGTTTCTTCCTTCCGACGATGGTGACGCAGTAGACATTATATACTTGGACTTCCTAAAGGCTTTTGCAAAGGTACCTCACCAAAGACTCCTGGGTAAACTTAGCATTCATGGAAGAAGAGTACAGGTTCTTCTATGGATTAAAAACCGGTTAAAAGACAGGAAGCAAAGAATAGAAATCAATCAACAATTCTCACAATGGAAGTAAGTAAGTCACTGTGGATAGCTCAATGAAACTGCCAACCTAGTGGGGCTGCAGCGTGAAAAAAAGGCAAACAAAGAGGAATTTCAGACAGACGATATAATCTGGAAGAGGAAAGGTTCCCAAACGGTTTCTGGTCTGTCATTTCAGACAGAACTGTTTTAGAACTGGTTCCCTACCGGAATATATTTGTAATTTCACACACAAACGCTACTGTCCCGTTTAGGAAACGGGGCTGAAGCGTTTTACCTGTCAACCGCTTTCAAGTAGTCCTCTCCCGGTTCCGATGCGTTTTTTCCCGCCATTTTTCGCCCACGGGGGCGATCTACAGCTTTTTTTGGGGGGGAAACATGCATTGGAATGACTGTTGTGTTACAGCACTATAGCGCTCTAAAGCGAACATTAAAAAAAACGGAGATCGCCCACGCGGGCGAAAACCAGTGGGGAAAAGGCGGTGCAGTCTGAAATGGCAAACCGCTTCAGATACCAACTCTTTACCGGAAGGGGAAAGCCATGTGTAAAATGGCAGCCCTATACCGGTTTACTCTACAATGGATCAAAAACGGCTTCAAAACAGGTTAAAAAGGGTAATGTGAAATTCCTCCCTGTTATGGATTATTAGGAAAGGGATTGAGAGTAAAGTGGCCAATATTGGAATGTATAGATCTATGGTGCGGCCTCATTTGGAACACTGTGTACAGTTGTGGTCACTGTATCTCAAAAAGGACATTGCAGAGCTGGAAAAGTACAGAGGAGGGCAACCAAGATAATTAGGGGGTTGGAGCGCCTTCCCTATGAGGAAAGGCTGAAGAATCTGGGACTTTTCAGTTTGGAAAAGAGATGGCTAAGTGAGGACACAATAGAGGTTTGTAAAATTATGCATGGCGTGGGGAGAGTTGACAAAGACATTTTTCTCCCTTTCCAAAATACTAAAACTTGAGGGCATCCAGAGAAGCTGATGGGCAATAGGTTCAGAACAGACAAAAGGAAATACAACTTTAAACAAAGAGTGATTAAAATTTGGAATTCGCTGCAAGAGGATGTAGTCGTGGCCACAGGAATAAACAGTTTTAAAAAGGGATTAGTTTCATGGAGGATAAGTCTATCAATGGCTACTAGCCATGGTAACTCCACATTCAGAGGCATGAATCCTCTGAGTCCCAGAGCCAGGAGGCAACATCGGGAAGGCCTCAGCATCTATGCCCCATTGTTGGCCCTCCAGAGGAACTGGTTGGCCACTGTGTGAGACAGGATGCTGGACTAGATAGACCACTGATCTGATCCAGCAGGGCTCTTCTTATGTTCTTAATTACTCTTTAAAAGTGCTGATCGCAGGGCTTGGAGAAATCCTCTTTTCCCCTGACCTGTTGCCAGCCACCTGCCAGCACTGAGGGACCAATCATCTAAGTATAATAAGGCAGTTTCCTTTGGTTGGCATGATCTGTGTGTTGTAGCCCACCAATTTCTTGCAATAGCATAGAGACTCCTGGGGCATACTTAAGTTGCAAAGTGCTGCAACTTGAGGTGGCTAAATATGTCACATGAAGCTGCCTTCTACCAAATCAGACCATTGGTCCATCAAGGTCTACTCGGAATGGCAACAGGTCTCCATGGTCTTCAGGAAGGTCTTTCACATCATCCCCTACCTGATCCTTTCTATTGAAGATGCCAGGGATTGAACCTGGGTCCCTCTGCATGCCAAGCAGATGCTCTGCCACCAAGCCGTGGCCCCTTCAGACCATCCCTGACAGGACGCTTCCCTTCTGTCTTCTTGCAGGCAATGTGAGCGGAGCCCTTGCCCCATGGACAGCAAGGCCTGCCAGAGAGCCGCCAACTCCATCTCGTTCCACTATTTGCCTCTCCAGTCCAACCGCACGGTGCCCCGGGTCCTCTTTAAGATGTCTACCAGCCGCTTTGTCGGAGACAGCCTGCGCTTTGCCATCTTGGGGGGCAACAGCCAAGGGATGCTTGCCGTGCAGCGTGCGGACCGCCAGACCGGGGAGCTGATGCTCACCAGACCAGCCGTGGGACCGACTGTGTTGGAGGCAGAGCTGGAAATGAGCGAATTTGCCCGAAAGGTCCCCCTTGGGAAACACATCTTCAAGGTCACAGTCTTTGTTTCACAGTATGAATTCTGAGTCCAACCAGCCCTGCAGAACAGTGCAGGGACTGGGGGGTAAAAACATTGACAGCAGAATTGGCAGAACTTCCAAGGGTGTGGCTCTAGGCCAGAGAGTTCCAAACTGTATGCCAAGACCCTACTGAAAAGGGGGTTGAGGCATGCTTTGTAAAATGAAGAAACCCATGTTGGATGACCCACAACTCAACCAATGGCTTTTGCAGTGGGAAGTCAACGCAGTGCTGACTCTTCTCCCCAGCAGATGCCATCATCTTAAGGGAAGAAGCGAGGACACAGCGAGGACACAGCGATGCAGCAACTGACATTACAGGTGGGAAAGTGTAGGGCAACCCTGGAAGCACTGCTCTTGCCTCAAAAGCTTGCTCCTAACTCTGAATCTTGGCAGAGTGGAAAAGAGGAGGGTGGAACCGGCTTCCTTGCTGCTTTGAAGGTGATGCCTGCCAATTGTTCTGGGAGCTGGTGGAGAAAGTAACTATATTCTTTTAACACAGAGTGAAGCATGCCTCCAGTTTAAATCTTGAGCTATGAGGAAAAGCAGGGTATAAATATTTTATTATGATAATCTAACAAACTGCCCTGGGTCTAGACAGCAGCAGAGAGGTCATTCCTGGTTAATTCCCATCTACCACTCTGCCGGTTGCTGGTTTAAAAAATGGCCTCAAGAAATAAATTCCAAAGGCACCAGCTCATAAATCTTTGTGAGATGTGAGAAAGGGGAGCTGGGAGGAAAAGATGTGTGAACGCCAACAACAAACCCACCATCTGTGCAAGATGCAGGCCTCATTCAGAGCTTCTCAGCAGCACACAGATATGCATTCCTGGTTGCTCCCCACAACTATTTCTAACAGTTCAAGTAGCCAGCCTGAAGCATACTGGAAGGCAGCTCAAGAAAGTTGTAGTTAGCCTCAAGTCATGATGCATCCATGGAATATACAGTGGGCACTTGCCTCACGTTTGGAACAAATGCCTCTCTTTTTCCTCCTCCCCACAGCGATAAGCTTTCAAGAGCTGGATTATTCTGGTTCTTTTCTAGGCAGAGAAACAGGACACAAGTACAAGAAGAACTTGTTTTGGGCACCCCTAAGGGAACATGGTCAAGGCTCTGGTTTCATAGTAGTGGGCTGTTGCAATGATACAAGATGTAGCGTGATATAAGACGTAGGAAATGGAAAACATACCAAATTATTAAAAATAATAATCTTTGCTGTATTGATACCTGGGTGTGTGTTTTTTTAAAGCAACTTTTTTGACTAGCATCTTGCCTGGGTAAGTCGTTGGCTAGTAAATGACATGTGAAAATTATAGCCTGAGAAATATTTATTAATTTTTTAAAAAACAATTATTAGACAGGACGACTGGGCCTGGGAAGTCAAGCGAGGGAGAAGGATCCTGCCATCCAAAGGAGGTTTCCACACATCCCACTCCAGGGAAAAGGGGGGTTCCCTGCCATGGGGTTATAATGGCTGGCTTCACCAAACCTAGTGAACAGACTATCATCCTACAGAGAGGGTGGGGCAGCGGATGGGATATAGCACATGCCTATTCTCACCTCCCAGACTTGTCCTACAGCCCAGGACCAGCATTCCCTCTAAGCTGAGTTAGTGTGAGCTAGCTCAGTTTTTTAGCCTCCAGCTCACACATTTTTGTCTTTGCTCAGGAAGGATGGTTCCAGAGCAAACTAATTGATGCAGTAGCCAAATCGCTCACTCACAACTTTAATGCCAGTAGCTCACAACGTAGAATTTTTGCTCACAAGACTCCACAGCTTAGAAGGAGCATTGCCCAGGACTGATGGGATCTCCAGGGGTGGCCAACAGCAATAGGACTCCCTTTCTTCCTAGCCACAGGTGCCACAAGTCAGGGAAGCAGCAGGTGCCTGTGGCACTTGCTGACCTGCATGGAAGCACATAATGCCTCAAATGTGTAGGGCTATGCTGATACATTCTGGCTTGTTAATAAATAGGCTCCAGTTTCCTGGGCTTTCCCCCCATTGGCTTTGTGCCTTCCAGGTCAATCTAAACAATAGCACACAAGGTAAACACATTTTAACCCTATAATGACTGAATTTAAACCTTGCAACACACATATTTCCAACAAAAGTGACCAGGAAAAGGGTGTCACCCACAATTGGAAGAGCACGGTCTTCCTGACAGTCAGCATGGCATTGTAGTTAAGGGTCCTGGACTAGGATCTGGGAGGCCCAGGTTCAAATCCCCACTTTGCCATGGAAGCTTGCTGGGTGACCTGGGGCCAGTCACATGCACTCAGCTCCACCTATGTCATTGAGAGGAAATGATGTAGGCTGACTTGGGTCTCCACTGTGTGGGAGATTAGAAATGAGGCAAACAACAAAGGCCTGGATCCCAGCCATACAGTTAAGGAAACTGAAAAGCACTTAAGTTTTTTTAAGGGGGAATGGCAAACTTTCACTAATCCTTCCCCTCCAACTGCAGCGCACTCAGATTCCTGGTTTTTTTGTTCTGGGGAAATCAGTGGACCTTGAAGAACAAGACGGTGGAGGGATCTGGAGTGGGAGGGGGGAAATAAGCAAAAATCACGGCCCCTTCATAAGAAAACTTAAGGACACTTTTATCAATGTGGTTGGATGCAGGCCACCTAAAAATAGTCGTAATAATAAATATTTTAAGAGTGAAGCGTCCCAGGGGTTTGAAGTGTGCATTACCAGGGGATCCCCCTGCCCCAAGCCTGGCCTGTTGTAGTCTCCCCCCACCCCCACACACACTCCACAATGCCTCTGGCCTAAATGAGCCAGACACAGAGTAATTCCAAACTTCCTAGCAAGGAGATCTATTGAGAGAAGAGTCACTGCTCCTTGCCTTTCCCCTATCAGCAAACATCTCCAGCCCACAGTGGGCAAAACATACAGCACTGCACACCCCAGAGGACAGGCCGGCCTGCCACAGGGACAAGAACATGCCAAAAGATTTAGATCAAAAACAAACGATTAACCAATTGAGCAGTGAGGCATTACAGGAATAGGCCAAAATCAATCCCAAATACCAGTCAGCCACTAAATGTTTTAGACCACCCAATGCATGCGTTTCAGCAGCCTCAAAGGTTACTCCTATGCTGCCAACTTCTTTTTTCTTAATTATTTTGTGTGTGTGTGTGTGTACATGCTAGCGAGCCTGGAAGTCATGGTTGATTTCTGGCGACGCCTAGTGGGGCTAGGACATTTTCAGAGAGGTGGCTTGATTGCCTGCCTCTGCGTCCCAGCCCTGGTATTCCTTGGAGTACTTGCCAGAGCTGGCCCTGCTTAGCTTTTGACAAGATTGGGCTTGCCTGGGCTATCCAAGTCACGGCCTTGCTTCCGACTTTGTGATTAGTGGCTCAGCCCCAATGCTACATGGAAACCACCTCTAAGCGTTACTAATCACAACCCCACGTTTTCTCAGGATCTCTCCTCCTGGCCAAAATAAAAGCCACCCAACTGAGGCCTCAGGTTGTTTTGTGGACGTCAACAGAGGCTCGGCTCGCGTTCTGGACCATGCGACACCCAAGGCCAGCCTGGTCAGCTCACGCCAGAGCTCCGTTCACAGCTCAGCCAGTCTTTCCCGCACACACACACACACACCGACACCACCACAAGACTAGTTAAAACAGCTCTTTATTGATAAAACACACCAGGTAGCATCAGAAACCAACATGGAACAGAAGAGAGCTGCTGAAGTGCTGCATGATGGGACAACATGATGGCTTCCTCGTGGGGCTAAGAGCACTGACCGGATGGGAAGGCCAGTGGCCCCCTTTGTGCGCTCGGGAACAGCGGATCTCGGGGCTGGCTTCAGTCAGAAGAGTCAGCGCCCTAGACGTCCGCCTGTTTCCACAGTCCAAACCGGAGCACATTCTGCAAAAGGCACGGATATGGCAACTGCCATCCGTGCCATCCGCCTCCCAGGACTCAGGAAGGCAACAAAAAAAGCACCTGGTGGAGGATGCGGAGGAATTAAGTACATGGGATGGGACGGAGCTGAGCCGGGCCCCGGTCTCCCGGCATCCATGAGCATAAGGCACTCCAAAGGCAAGGAGGTGTTCTTTCTCTGCTTCGGATCTCCGCTGCCTGTCCCGCAGAAGAGAGGCTGGCAAGAGCTTTTATAGTTTAGCAATGAGGGCGACGATAATCATAAAAACAAATCCTTCCACCAGTTTTTGGAGTCGATCCTTAGCAGGAACAGGTGATCCTGGAGGGCTGGCAGTCAATACCAACAGGAGCCAACATGTTTAAAGTGCATCTGAGACTCAATTAAAAAAAAAAAGGAGTGACTCGAGGCAGACTGTTTCTGGGAGGGGAGGGAGGAGGAAGGATGTGCCATTGGTAGCTATGGAGTATCCTAAAACAGTCAGCTGGAAAGCGCAAGGGGAACAGGCAGGAAGGGTGATTTAGCCGATTTTCTTTTTTGCACGCTGCGGACAACCGACCCACAAGGCTATTAGTCAACATGGGTCCCGTGACCTCAAGAAATCAACTTTCCTCTGGTCGGTGGGGGACTTGCCAGGGGTGGAGGGAAACATGGGAAAGATCCACAACCAGAAGCATCTGGTACTGATGGCTCACTGGATCTAACCCAGAGTATGCAAGCATGTTCGGCTGAGACCAGAACTCTGCAGGGCAGTGGATGCTGAGCTGGGGTGGGTAACTGCGAGGCAGCCAGCAGACTCGGCTGTACAGGAAGGAGCCAGAATCCAGCCCCTCTGCAATGTGACCTACTGAAATCTCTCCTGTAAAACTTGGTTCTTTGGTGCAAAGACAACTGGACTCAGAATTAGTCCCTGTGTTACACTAGAGATTTTTTTAAAAAAAAACCCTACTGTCTGAGAAAACCGCAAAGGAGCTGAGAGGGGATTCACGTCTCCACCTGTACCCACATCTCTTCCACCCTACTGTCTTTGGTCCAAGAAGTTTTAAAGAACTTAATATTTTAAAAACATGCCTTTCAGCACTAATTAGACTAAGGGCCAAAGAGGGACCCCGCTGCTTTCACTGTATACAAGCTGCTTTCAGCTTTCTGGGGACAACATCATCTGGTCAGACTCAGCTGGGATAAGCACAGGAAGCAGCAAAGCCATTAGAGGAGAAACCAAGAAGGAACCTTTAACCTGGCAGGCCACTGTTTCGTCCAACGGTCCAGCAAAAGCCAGAGAGTTTCAGAGGCGGCTTTGCAGTCCGAGGGTGTACGCCTGGCCTGCCTCGAAATGCAGCCTCTGGGCCTGACTCAAGAAGTGGGGCTTCTTCTGCCCGGTGCTCGATATGGTCAAAGTTGACTGGGCAAGGGATGGCTATGGTGGCCATAAGTGCTGCAGTTTAATACTGCCCCACCCCACCCCGCCTTCCAAAAACCTCGAAGGAACCTTGCAGTCACTCCCATCCCCATCTCTTTGCTGTGCAGGGACACTGGGAGGTCCCGGACACTTTCGCTTCGAAAGGCTAGCAATAGGAAAACAATACTGTCTGGATAATGTGTAACAACGAGCTGTCCAGACATGTTTTTAAAAGGAGGGACTGAAAAAAGAGGAAAGAGAAGGGTGCAAAGCTATGTCCAGGGGTCCTTTTGATTTCCCCCCCCCAACAGAATGGTGTTACATATCTGATGGGAAGAGGCGGGAATAACTGAAAGGCTTGCAACCACTGCTGTTTGCAGTGAACGACTTGTTGCTCTCGGAGTCGATTTAATCGTGCTCTTTTCCAATGTGGTAACACTTAATGGCAGCCCCGGGACAGGTCCGGGGGGCGGGAATCTTTCATTTGAAACTGGCCCTGTGTCAAAACCATTTTACACGTGAGCCACAAAGGCCAGATGCCTTTTTTCAAACTAGCATCCCCAGAAGGGGTAACATCTTGTGTGGACTGTACCATGTGGCCGTATGGAGCATCTGAACCTTTCCCCAGTAGCTGTAGTAGAGGCTGGTGCTGGGATGGGAAGAGGAAAGGAAACAGTTGGGAAATGTAGATGTGCAAAGGTAGCCGCCCCACCTAGAGGATACAGGACGAGGTGAAAGAGACAGGCAGGCGGGAAGGACAGGACTCAGGGGAGCAGGGGGCACTCCACCTACAGCCGCAGAGGCAGGCCTTCAATACCAGCCTCCAGATTGGCAAGAGGGGCCGCTCTCAAAGCGATCCCTCTCCCAAGAGCCAACATGCTGAACAAC